TAAGGAATTATTTTCAAATAATAATTATTACGTAATATATAAAAGTTATATTATATAGTTTATTACGTAAATTATATATTTTGTACATCTGAATGTATCCAAATACATTTTAAACACAAATTTTTAAAGAAACTGCCTTATTAACATAATGGAAATGAAAATTAAACCAGAAAAATTAAATAAAAGACGCTTTCGTAATTAAAATTTTAATCGATTAGTATCTGTTTTAGAGTTTTACAACGATCTGGCAACGATGCATATTACAAGAGGATAGCAATTTCGTCATGACAAGTGACTAATTTTTACATCAAAAATGGCGAATGTTGTGCATGTTGTGTATTTTCACTAAACACTTTCATTGTTATTATGTTTGGTTATGGGTAATCGTAAACACTTTTGTTAAATAATTGTGACTTCAAATTGTATATTTACGTTTTCTGTTCCTTAACAGAAAAAAAAATGACGACTGACAAAATTAAAGTTGCTGTCAGGGTCCGTCCTTTCAACAGGAGAGGTGAGTACAATGAATAATGTAAGTAGTATTTAATTACGAATATCAAGTTGAGAATAAGTGATTGTTCGTTATAAAGAAATGCAGTTTTTTTATTGTTATTCGCTGCGGATGTTCCAAATGAGAATATTCATGTTATTATTGACATACTACTTATGACATCAGGGTAATTAATTTTGTTTATTTTAGAAATAGAATTAGGAACACAATGTGTTGTGGAAATGAAAAAACAGCAAACCGTCCTCCAACAACCCTCTGGTCTGGACAAATTAGACAGGTAATAAAATAACACGTTTTAGTTGTAGTTTTCATTAAACCAAGTATACTGTTTCACTATCTGACATTACTACTGTATCATCACACTTCACAATTAATTAAATTTTACTCCTTGTAGTCTTTGTAAATAAGAATAGCACTGTAATTATATTACTTATTGATAAGTTGACAAAGAAGAGTTAATAAATTTAATGATATTCTAGTGAATAATCTAGAAATAGTTTTTTCATAATATCATTAGCTTTATTTTAAAGTTTATCTTTCAAAAGTATTTATATATGCATTCTACAATACATTCTTCATTGAATCATTAATTTGCATGGTTTATGAAGTTAGTTTGATGTTAATATCTTCTTATATTTGTATGTATTATAGAAAACAGCCCAAGACATTTGCTTTCGATCATTGTTTTGATTCTATTGATCCAAGTAGAGATAACTATGCATCACAAGAAAATGTATTTGACTGTTTGGGTCGTGATATATTGGATAATGCATTTCAAGGCTACAATGCATGCATTTTTGCATATGGACAAACAGGTAAACTGTAAAAGCTTAATGTTATATAATTTTTATTCTTTTTTGTATATGCCAATAATTCATGAATTAATTATAGGCTCGGGAAAGTCCTATACTATGATGGGAACCCAAAATTGTAAGGGTATTATACCGCGTCTATGTGATAGTTTATTTGATCTCATTGCTAAACGACAAAGTGATGAACTTTCATACAAAGTTGAAGTTAGCTATATGGAAATATACAATGAAAAGGTTAATATAAGTCATTAAAGTCGCATTATTTTCATAAATAACTGAAAATTTCTGTAGGTGCATGATTTATTAGATCCTACAACCACAAAGCAATCATTAAAAGTGAGAGAACATAATGTTTTGGGGCCCTATGTAGATGGTTTGTCCCAATTAGCAGTAAAGTCATTTGAAGTAAGTAGAAACCTAATTATTCAAAAGAATTTAAAGATTAAATATATTTGTTATTATAAGGACATTGATAACTTAATGGCAGAAGGAAATAAATCTAGGACAGTTGCTGCTACAAATATGAATAGCGAATCATCGAGATCACATGCTGTATTTACAGTTATTTTAACACAGACCCTTACAGATACTAAAACAGGTGTGAGTGGTGAGAAAGTGAGCCGAATGTCCCTTGTGGACCTTGCCGGTTCGGAACGGGCTGTGAAAACGGGGGCTGTGGGGGAAAGATTAAAGGAAGGTTCTAATATTAATAAGTAAGTGTTCAATATTCTTTTTTGGATTTCAATCTAACGAAAGCGCTTTCTAGATCATTAACTACCTTGGGTCTAGTCATTTCAAAGTTAGCAGATCAATCTTCAGGGAAAAACAAAGATAAGTTTGTTCCATATCGCGATTCAGTTTTAACATGGCTCCTTAAGGACAATTTAGGCGGTAATAGTAAGACAGTAATGGTAGCCACAATCTCTCCTGCTGCTGACAATTTTGAAGAAACGTTATCAACATTAAGATATGCAGACAGGGCCAAGAGAATTGTTAATCATGCTGTTGTTAATGAGGATCCAAATGCTAGAATAATTAGGGAATTACGACAGGAAGTAGAGACCTTAAAAGAAATGTTAAAACATGCCACTGGTTCACCCGACATATACAAAAAGTTAAATGAAAGTGAAAAATTATATAAAGAGATGTCTCAAACCTGGGAAGAAAAGTTAGAGAAAACAGAGCGCATTCAAAGTGAAAGACAACAAGCATTGGAAAAAATGGGAATTAGCGTACAAGATTCAGGGATAAAAGTAGAAAAAAATAAATATTACTTGGTTAATTTAAATGCTGATCCATCACTCAACGAATTACTTGTGTATTACCTCAAAGTATGACGACGTTTTTCTCTGTTTGAAAAATGTAATTTACTTTTCTATATTTCAAGGAAAAGACAATTGTTGGCAGTAAAGATGCAGATATACAATTGTCAGGTTTGGGAATTCAGCCTGAACATTGTATAATGACTATAGAGGATGGTGGTTTATTTATGGAGCCTCTTGCCAATGCACGGTCATTTGTTAACGGATCTCAAATTACTACTCGTACAGTTCTTAAAAATGGCGATAGAATCGTGTGGGGGAATCACCATTTCTTCCGTGTCAATTGCCCTAAAGTTTGTAAGTATTCCATATCAGGAAAGTTTTAAATAATTATTTCACTGTTCTTTAGCCTCTGAACCGCAAACTCCTGCCCAATATATTGATTATAACTTTGCTAGAGAAGAACTAATGCTCAATGAACTCAGTAATGATCCTATTCAAGCGGCTATTGCTAGACTTGAAAAGCAGCATGAAGAGGATAAACAAGGTACAAAAATAATATGATTACTCTATAACAAACATTAAAAACTAATTTTTGTTGTTTTGAATTTATAACTTACTATTAAAATTTTTCCAGTTGCTCTAGAAAAACAACGATTAGAATATGAAAGACAGTTTCAGCAGTTGAGAAATATAATGTCACCTACTACCCCATACCCTCCTTACTCCTACGACCCGCTGAGATTTGTCAAACCAGCCCCATGTACCCCCACCACGCAAATGAGAGTTGAGAAATGGGCACAAGAGAGAGATGAAATGTTCAAAAGGAGCATAGGTCAGCTTAAAGCTGATATTGTGAGGGCCAATGCACTTGTACAAGAAGCAAACGTTCTTGCAGAAGAAATGGGAAGACAAACTAGATTCAGTGTGACATTGCAAATTCCTCCTGCAAATTTGAGTCCAAACAGAAAGGTACAACAAAAGAAAATATTTTGTAACTTTAAATAATTTTGAAATTCTTGCTTGATTGTTACAGAAAGGATCATTTGTAAGTGAACCTGCTATATTGGTGAAACGGGTAAATTCTCCCAGTCAGGTGTGGAGTATGGAAAAATTGGAAAACAAGTTGATTGATATGAGAGAACTTTATGAAGAAAGGAAAGAACATAACATTCCTCTCAGAGATCCAATTCCTCCAAACTGTATGGATCCGTTCTATGAGTCCCAGGAACACCATAATCTTATAGGCGTAGCTAATATATTTTTAGAGGCTCTGTTTCATGATGTTAGATTAGACTATCACACTCCCATTATTAGTCAACAGGGAGAAGTAGCTGGGCGGTTACAGGTACGTGAAAATGCCGCTTGACTTCCATTATGCATGATATTACATAATAAAATGGCACTGTTTTGTTTATCACTGAATTAAAAAAAAATCAATGATACGATTCACTTTTTATATAACTGTTACATGTTTAACTCTGTATGGTTGTTTTTTCTTCCTTACCACAACAAAAAATGTTTTTGTTATCCAAGGTGGAACTGAGTCGTGTTGCTGGTATGCTCCCTCAAGACAGGATATGTGAAGCAGCTTCAGACAGCTCAAGTGACAGCACATATGATGACGATGACATTAATACCAGTAATCAAATAACTTGTCGCGTCCACATTAAGCAAGCTTCGGGTCTACCCTTATCTTTGTCACATTTTGTGTTTTGCCAGTATACTTTCTGGAACCACCCTGATCCTATTGTTGTTCCGCCCCCTGTTGACCCAGAATTGCACGAGAATGTCTTCAATCCTGGTCAAAAAGATACCATGACATTCCGATTTGACCATGTCAAAGATTTTACTGTTCCTATTACAGAAGAGTTCGTAGAACACTGTGCAGAAGGTGCTCTTTCGATAGAGGTTTGGGGACATCGAAGTGCCGGATTCACCCGAACAAAACCAGGTTGGGAAGTAGAACAGCAACAACTGGCTAAAGCCCGTTCGTTGGCCGATCGGTGGTCAGAACTTACAAGAAAGATTGAATTATGGGTTGAAATACAAGAACTTAATGATCAAGGCGAATATGCTCCAGTTGAGGTAACAAACAAAGGCGATACTTGTACAGGAGGTGTTTATCAATTACGTCAAGGTCAGCAGAGACGTATACAAGTCAGAGTTAAACCCGTTCAAAACTCGGGAACTTTGCCGATTATTTGCCAATCAATTGTAAAAGTAGAAGTTGGGAGCATTTTAGTGCGTTCTCGACTCCAAAAACAGCTTGATTCCTATCAAGATGAAGATCTTGCCACTTTAAGGGAAAAATGGAGTGAAGCGTTAATGAGAAGACGGCAGTATTTAGATCAGCAGATCAAGAAACTTATAGATAAAACAAATAAAACAGAACAAGATATAGAAAGAGAACAAAGTCTGGTTAATCAATGGGTCAATCTTACTGAAGAAAGGAATGCTGTATTAGTACCTACACCAGGTTCTGGAATACCTGGAGCACCTGCCGTTTGGGACCCACCATTGGGCATGGAATCGTATGTTCCCGTTTTGTTCCTCGATTTGAATGGTTAGTTAATTCCTAAACTCTTTAAAATAGTATTTTTAACAAAATCATTTTTAGCTGATGATTTATCTACACATAAATCAGGCGAGGAAGTAACAGTTGCCGGTTTAAACTCCATCTTGCCTAAAGAGATAACAAGTGTGTTTTACAGTTTACATATCTTGCAGCATTTGGAAAAAGATGTTTGTGCCGTTGTTTCTTGGGACTCATCAATTCATGATAGTATTCATTTAAATAAAATAACCGAACGTAAGCCCCTTTAATTAGATTTTTACATTGCCGTAAATTTAATTAAAAAGGTGTAAGTGTAAATTTTTAACTTTTTAGCAAACGACAGAGTTTATATGATTTTAAAGACAACTGTACGATTGTCTCATCCTGCTCCAATGGACCTTGTACTCAGGAAACGATTAGCTTTGAACATTTACAAACGCCAAAGTCTCACCGATAGAATTAAGAGGAAAATTGTTCGCACAGACATTCTAACACAAACAGGCGTTACATACGAAGTTGTCTCAAATATTCCTAAAGCTAGTGAAGAATTAGAAGACCGTGAGTCTTTGGCTCAAATTGCCGCTTCAGGAGAAGACACATCATTATGTGATGGAGAGACATATATCGGTAAGATTCTCAAAATTTTCAATAAAAACAAAAGATTCCTAAAGTTGTTTTTTCTTTTTAGAAAAATATACAAAAGGTGTAAGCGCAGTTGAAAGTATTTTGACGTTAGACCGTCTCCGACAAAGTGTTGCTGTGAAGGAACTTTTGCAAGCCAAAGGTCAACCTCTAATGCGCAAAACTGCTAGTGTACCTAACTTCTCTCAGGTAAAATTTACATATTTTATTTGTAAGTTGTTAAAACGTACTTGGTTAACTTATTTTTAAATTTAATGCTTATCAGGCTTTGGAAACTAATCAAGGGGTATGTTAATGTAATTCTATGTACCTTTATATAAAATGCGATTATATTTATAAAATATCCTTATCACAACGCCCCTACTATTGTGACTGTTATGTATACAAACAGTGATTAATGTTTTATTACAGTTGATGAGATTAGACATGAGCACAGAGTCCCTGAACATGCCTCGTTCTGAAAGCGTTACAGAACTCAATAGCGAGCCTCTGGCAGGATTACCATTGAGATCATCTAGAAGCAGTTTTTCGAAAGACCCGGATATGACACCTCCCAAACCATTTGGAATCGGTAAGCTACTTAAGTTAGTCTTGTATTTACCAATTGCACAATTATCTGTACCTATATTTAAAATATTGGGATTTTTTATCAGCAATTATAGTACATATATTATAGGAACATGAAAATATCGATTTTTCTATGTTATTTATATTAATTATAATATTGCTTGTTTATTAGACACTTGCGTCGCAACAACTGGCTCTATATATTTTTGCCAGTATCATATTTATTTGTATTAGAAGTAGACGAAGAAAAGGAGTAGCAGAGTCATTTTTAATCTATTCTGTTTGAATTTTACTATTTCAGTTCTTGTTTTCTTTTGTGGAAGCGTAGTAAGCAAAACATAAAAGTGATTGCTTATAGAGACAGCAGATTTACTATTTGTGTACTCATATTTTCTAATTATATAATACTTCATGGTATTGCAAATACGAAAAAGATAACTGTTATTCCGTTGGTGTGTGTTACTTGTTTATTTCGTGACAACATTTTAGATTTTTGATGATACAATGTATATTCTCGATTTTACTAATTGATTCTATTTTCACTGCAATCACAAGGCTCCATTCTCACAGGTAAAATGGAGGCTTGCAATTTAATATTTTAGTGGAATATTATAGGTGGAAAACGGGCTGTATATATAAGTGTAAAGTCTGCATCTGCGACACCTGTGAAATCTAAATTTTTTAAAAACAGTCTTGCCTATCTATATACATAGTAACATATATGTTCGCCTAATCGTCATATTCATTCCACAACGTCTATCATCAATTCATTTTTACTTTCAGTGACTTGATATACCTGTTTCGTATATAATTATTCGAGTTCCTTTGCATGGATTATTCTTTGAACTGGTTGTTTTTAATAGATTAGTGCAATACATAATATGAAATGTTCTGTTAAAATCCGTTAAACTTTTATAGTACAAAGTCAATGTTAATACACCGATTATATTAAAAATAATACAAAACAGCATGGGATATATATAAAGAAGCACTTGTTTACACAGTTGTTCTTAATTAAATGTAATTTTTTTCATTTTCAAAATTAATTTAAACAAATGCTTCTTTAGAAAAGGCTTGAATGTAAATTTAAAAAAGTACCAATGAGCTATTATTTAATTATTATACAGGGTGTTTTATTATGATTATCTACAATTAAGAAGATAATACAGAAAGTAATATGAATAATTTTTGCAATTGTATGTTGTTAAACATGAGAATATTTTTGTTGTAATTTATATTAATTAAAGAAGTTACACTTCACATCAACACCATTATTTTTCGTTATCACATTTTGTACATTTCATATTAATATTGAGCACTTATTCATCATTGCCACATAGTTTATATACTCCCTTGTGATGAAGTCACAGAGACCTTATGAATAAATAGAACAGTACATACCTCTGCCATTGAATCAGATACCTTTCCGTTTTAGTTACAATTGGTACTTTTTGTATGTATTGATCAGAATAAGTACTAGTTGTATTTGTATGCTGAATATGGCATGAGTAGTCTGGTAGGCAGGCATCAACAAAATAGAGTATGTGTGTTGTGGAAGACCGACCAAAATCCTCAGATTCAATGTTATTTTTATGACTCTCTTTTTTTTTTTAATTCCTATTTGTTCTTTTAAATGTAAATTTAGAAAGAATTAAAACTTAAAAGTTTGCTGTATTTAGAAGAGGGTCATAAAGGTGTATGTTTGGGTCATAGGATATGGTTAAACGTTTACAAAAAATGCATGGTAAAAATACAACTGTCTCTTTGACTTTAACTTAAATTCATATATTAACAATTTTGAAGGATTTTAAAAGGCAAACTTATACCTACTATTTGTAAATATTCGAATTTTTGATTAACAGAAAGGTTTTGAGAAACTTACAATTTTTAATTTTACAGCTCGTCCGACGTTCTTAAATTTGAGTTTAAATCTTAACTCACTGCGTTTACAACAGCCCAACAGCTGTACCAAATGTACGTTTACAATTGTAGTGAATTCATTTTGGTCGATTTTGTTTTGTTTTCGTATTTTTTTTTTTTCGTTATTTTACAATTTTCAGGTAGTTAGATGATTGGTTTTTATGTTTAATAAGTTATTATTGCTACTTTGAATCACAACATCTGTAATGATTTTTATCTTTAGTATCCCCTGCTTTAGCAGCATGTGCTTACTCTTAATTTATTTGAAAAAAATGTTCGACAGTATTGTAATTTAGAATATTTTAGTGAGTATGACCTCTCCGGCCAATCAAAAAATTGGACACAGAATGACAACTCTTCATGAAGAACAAATTCCACAACCACGAAAACATTCATTGGACCTTGATGAAATGTTGGAAGAAAAAAGTGACGACCTGGAAAGAAATGACGAAGAAAGTAGTGACAATTCAGTAAGTAATGTGGCTTCATATTCATTTTTCCTTTTTTATTAATTGTGTGAATTTTGTATCTCAAGGTTTTAAAATCAAAAAATAACATTAAAAGAGGTTTACCGACTTCGAGAACCTTAGATTCGTTGATCGAGTTGGTGCCGAAGACCGGTACTCCTTCTGTAAGTTCGAGTGGATACGGGTCACAAGCTGTGTCATCAACTAACTTATCAAGTGAAGATTCCATGTCTTTAAGAAGTGCAGAAGAAACTCCTGACCATGAGTTTAAGCATACTATTGCTGATTTAAAGCCTGTATCAGAAGTTAACGACATTAATATGGAAAAGAGCGATGAAAGTACAGAGGTAAAGAAATCGTATTTTACAGTGTGAAGAAGTAGTCTCTGAAGTACAAGTTATTGTTTCAGGAACAACTTTCTGATAATAAAACAGACGTAACTGAAAATGACGTGAGTAGTTTAAGTGACGTTGTAGAAGCAGATTCTGAGACAAGTACACATTTTAAATCATCCGGAAAAACTACTAAACGTACCAAAAATATAAAAAATTCACAACAACGTGCTTCTTTCCCTCAAGGTCGTAATACTGCTTCTGACAACAAACTTTCCAATCGTTCTGAAAGGAAAGCATCTTTATCAAATAACGGGGATAATATGAGTAGCTCCTGCGAAAAATTAGAAGGTAAGTTAAAAATTATTGCAATCAATTCAATCATTAATTGTTTCTATTTAGATGACAGTGAAGTTTCAAATTATGGTTCGAGAGCCGATTTAAATAAAATAAGCGACGTTCCAGTACCAGATTGGGTTGTTTTAGGTGAAAGCGTCCTTATAAGACCTTACAATTCATCTGGTGTGATAGCTTATATAGGCCCAACAGAGTTTGCTAACGGTACGTGGATTGGTGTTGAACTGGATGCCCCAAAAGGTAATCATTACCTGTATAATATAATTGTACTATGTATGAAATAGAACATAAATGTATGCATTTTTGTTGTAGGAAAAAATGATGGTTCTGTCCAAGGTATCCGTTATTTTTCGTGCCGCCCAAAACATGGAATGTTTGTACGAGCTGACAAACTAATTTTGGATAGGAGAGGTAGAGCCATGCGTTCCTATAAGAATGAGATTCAGAATTGCATTTCTGGAAAGGGTAAGTGACTTTTGATTTTGAAAATTATATTTATAACGAATATAACTTAGAAATGAGATTCAAATAGTGTAAAGTTATTATTATATGTATTGTAGTGGAAGTAGTGAGGAATTTAGTTGCCTTTTAAGTAAAAGTGAAATATCTTAGAAATTTTTTAGGTGAATTGCCAAGGTCTCGTTCCCGTGGAGATAGCTTAAACACCGTAGGTGTAAAACAAAGTTCTCGTGCAAAGTAGGCTTGTACATTTCACCAGTTCCCTCCATCGAACCACCCATCTATTTAATTTTTTGCGTAATGCACCGACAGCTGATTCACGGTAATAATTTAGTATTTACGTCGATTCGTTCAAAAACAGAAATAATAACAATAACAATTAGTAGCATTATATTGCAAATATTTTTGAGAGGCGTCAAGTTTTTATGGGTCGACCAATTAATTGCTTTTGGTAAACCGTCCAAATTTATGTAAATTATACGGTTAAAGTAAATAGATTTGTTGCATTGCATCCGTCGAAACCATAAATTTGAGGTCAATATTAATTGTGATTATTTATTTGCCCTTTGTTTTTTCTTTTTCTTGGGTTAGGTGAATTGTAATTGTGTAGCTCTCCAAATTATTAATTAGATAATTTTGCGCGAGAAGCTGTTTTTAGTATTTAGATCACCGCGACTACCAGGTGTTTTATAATTCTGTGGTTATTTGAATTAGTTCTGTGATATTGTTTTTTTAATGTTGTGTATTGATGGAATCGTTTGAATGGGTCATCTCTTAACTTTTCCTTATCTATANTATTCCCTCCCGGGAGGGGGTGCCGTACTTTATTCCTGAAGCCTATGTACGATTTTATTCCATACCCTTACCGAAAGTGAAGGTATTTTGCTCTTTTGTCCCTGAAATCAGGGAAAAACATCGTACATTCGGTAGATATGTAGCAAAATATTGTACTGTGTATTTTGAAATTTATGTTTCAGGAATTTATTGCTTTATTTGCAAGACAGTTTACAAGACAAATGGGATTCCTTTAAAAAAGTTTATTTAGTTATACATTGCAAAATAATTCTAATGGAATTTATTTATCTTTTTTGTACATAAATTGCATTATCCGATACGTTTTCATAAAAATATGCTTATATAAGTTTAGTTGAATCTAAGAACTACAGAATTAATATGATCATATTGAAACGAAATAAACTAAGTATCTGTTGCACAAATCCATTCCAAAAAGTTCTGTTTTTACCTCACTACAGTATATTATTTATCTTAAGGGCAATAAATGTTTTGTCAAATTTGCAAATATCCGAATTAGTTATAAAGATTTTAAAAATTATCAATGTAGCTCTAAAAGCTGTTTATTGTATATGGTAGCACTTACAACTTTTATAAAAGTAACTGCAATTAATGTCTGTTTTGCCTTTTCATCTTTTAATATTCAGTATAACAGAATTCTTTTATGAAAATGTAATTTTTTTTAACCTAAAGTGTATTGGAATTTTGTGTATTTGACAAAATATTTTTTCAGAAGAGGGTACAATACTAACTATTACTTTTGCTACTAATATTACTACTGCTACTACTACTAATTTTACTTTGAAATAGACTCGGTAGTTCCTAAAATAGCACAACGTTGGAGTTTGTTAAGTAATAATATTTTGAAGTAGAGTGACTAGAATAACATATCTGACGTGTTTCACTAAGAAAAATATAAACGATATGAAACGACAACCCCATTACATGTCCCATAGATGTGATAGTCTGCAAAGTAATCAGAAAAACATCCCAGTGCTAGAATTTTTTGTATCAACTTATCGTTAGTAACTGATGAAGTGACTTGACACTGTATAAAGCCAGCCAATTTGAATATATCTTTATTCACATTCCAGCAGTTTTCTAGTCGATTCAAATAATAACTTTGTAATCAATTTGATATATTGACACATTTACCTGCTCTTTCCAGTCCCCATAACGAACATTGTAAATATCATTTGTGTTCATCTGGAGTATTGTCTCTGTCCATATTTGCTAAATAAAGTAATAATAATTATAAGAATAAATATTGTAATTACAAGATTATAGGCTGCTAATGTGAATTTACATCGGATGATGATGATAATTCATTTTTCATGTACACACATTAATTATATAAAATTGCATGTAAAGTAGTAATGAAGATGCTTTAAAATGTCTGTTGATTCAGTACAACAAAAGTAGAATTATTCTGTTCCTTGTGATTATTAAAATCAAAGGCGTTGAGCTGTAAAACTATATTTGTATAAAAAATTATATTTAAGATTTAATTTGTAAATTGCACTTTTATATAGTTAATTATTTATTGCAACTAAGTTTGGTTTATCTTGTTGTAATTTTTGCGAAGGTTGTATTTATACATACACCTAATGACACATTCTTATTGCATGTTCGGGCATTGCATTGTATGTACTTACTTTTTAAACGCACTTCAATATATACACATATTAGAATTAGCCATGGTTGCCTAACAATATAAGTATTTTTGTAATTATTCATCTATTTAAACCAGCCTTTTAATGTAATTTATTTTGCCTTTACAATGGGTTTGTTGTACATTTTGTTTAAGCTGCATAATAGTAATTTTATTCTGTAAATTTTGTTGTTAACTTTTATATCTATACCATTAAATTATTACTTTCTGTTTACAGTTGCTATATATTTTTACCAATAAAACTACACGAAAACAGATGGTTCTTTCATTTTTACTTAACAAATACCTACATTTTTAGCCTTTTACCTGTATTAGATTTATAGTAACATACTAATTTAGTTTATTTTTCTATTTTATATATTGTAAACTAATTAATTAATCGTCAACAAAAAGTTCAAATATGACTATACCAGTAAATACAAGCAGACATTACCCATATCTTACATAAGGTAAGAATTTTAAATTTATTAAAAATAAATATTTGTGGATTTGATGATGTAAATACTTGTATTTTGTTTGTGAAAATTCTTAAGCACATTCAATCCCTTAACGGAATAAACATTTAACCAGAAAGAGAAGACTCTAAACTTTGTGGTTATTTTATTAGATTCAAATTTGAAATTTTCGCGCTTACATTTGTAAAAGTTGGCATTGAAAACCTAAAATAAACTTACTACTCGTTTCTGATTGGCCGGTCAACAATGGTCCTTTCAAGTGACGCTATTCTCGTATAATCTACTTTCTCGAAATTATCTCTGCAATTTTTGGAGATTTTTGATAATAAAAGTGCGATACGACGATTTATGACCTTTTCAGAAGCCTATCTCTAACCATCCCTCAATATCAAATTATTATTTTTCAGTGGAAGAAATACAAATCGTAAAAAAAGATTTAAAAAAATTTTATCAAAACGCGTTCATTAAATGGTCAACTACCCGAGGTATGTATTTTTTTATTTCACCCTGAAATGATTTTCGTTATTTTTTAAGATAAACTTTCAATAATATAACCCATGCCATGACAAATATTAAAAATGATAAAAACTATAAACATTTTATTGATAACAAACTAAATTCATGAGTTTTTGCAAACCGACACTAATACCACGATTTTATTCATGTATTTGTGGATATTAAAGTGGTAATTTAAAATAATTTTCATACCTGGGCCTCTTCGTAATAAGTCAATACAGACACAACAAATTGCAGGTATTCTGTTATGAAAACCTTTTCTAAATGCCATGAAAAACAGACTTTCACTTCTTGTTTTAGTTACATGAAGTTTGTATTTTATAAAGTTGCTCATTTTGAAAATCACGTGAAATATGAAGATTTCTATTATATTCTCTCTCCAATTTACTTCTTTTTTTATGAAACAAAAGTATACAAAGCACTAATGAAGGAAGATATTCTAATGTCAACTATTAAATCCTTTTACAAGACAGTAATTTGTTTTTCACTGGTATCTATAAAACAATTGAAAACTTCTTAGAAGTATAAAGTGACAGCTTTTCATTGCTTTATCTTATAAAATCATAATACATTTTCCGTGTTTTTATAGCATATAGTTAGAATGGAAATTAGAATTTTTAATGTAAAGACTTCCTTAACGTATCAGCAACACCCACCCAAAATGACTATAGAATGATTTAACAACCTGAAGTTTAAAATTTCCTTCAATGCACAGAAATTAGGACTTTCTTGTTAAGGATTTCACCCTCTTTCATGACATAATAATGTAAGAATTTTAGAGAATTGTTAATTTTAATAATTAATTAAAAAAATGGTGACTTTAACTTTACACTTTGCAATTCAGTTGCTTTTATGAAGTAAAATGAAAAAGAAATTGCAACATATTGTAAATACAATCAAACTGCAAAAAATTGTACAATTTCTTTCTAATTACAATGCACAACATTCAATCATTTCTTTTTACTTATTCTCAAAAACTATATTGATTGTATTTTCTCACCAATTCAGGTGCCCTCCATAAAATAAAAGCATATGAAGTAGTAAACATGATATGTTAATAATTTCATTTTATTGCTATCTTACTATATCAATTTCAAATACATTTTCTGTATCTTTATAGCAGTTGGACTGAAAATTATACTACTTTGAAGTAATGGCAACGCTTACACAAACTGGGAGGACGGATTCAGCTTGTACGGGCTTTTCCTTTAATACAAAGGAAGTAGGACCTTCTTGCATTTTTGATGAGGCTTCTATTCACACTTTACTATTCCCTACATAAGGTACAAATATTACAAAATTAATCATTACCGAATAGATTTTTTGTTTTTACAATAATTTCGTTTTCACTGTTTTACGTTCAATATAAAACAAATAAGTTCAATTACATCAAGACGTATGGAAATTTCGATTTATTTTATAACTTTTCAGAACACAAAACCAATTAAGTGTTCCAATTTTAAATAAACCCTAAATTACTTATTTTAAATGTTTATAAATTGAAATATTACATTAACATTGTAACACATACCTCTCCAATAAAAGGCAAACCATTTCAAACAACCCCTGATCAGGTAAAATAAACAAACTGATTCAACTGAGAGCAAAACAAATTTTAATTAAATTACTACCCAAATACGATAAAAATTAGATTAACTTTTGGTAAAATTAAATGTATAATAAAAAAGGCACTAAAAATACTTTAGTGTTAAATACTAATTTACTGCCCATTCAAGGTTAATTCCAAAAACTTTTATATTTTAAAACAAGGGACTTCAAATTCCAAATAGGCAATTGTCGGTAAAGTCCCTAATGCTATCAACCCACAACGCACTCTATGCTAAAGAAACAAACTTTGGAAGAATTCCTTCCTTTACGCATTCCAGAAGATGTCCCTCCATTCATAAATGACATAAAGGGTATTTCGAAAGATGATCAAAAACTTAATAAAAGCTGCTAAAAATTGATACAATCATTATATGTTATTTTCATTTATTTAATTAAAAATAATTAGTAGATTCTGATATACGTCTTTCAATGGCAATTGTTTAAAGTTTCTTTATGACAATACTTCTATAAGTGCATTTTCCAGTTACATTAATTATTTATTGGTAAAGAGTATAATCATTATTATTACAACCAACGAAAGTAACACTTAACGAGTTGTTATTAATTAGCCTTTATTGTTTCAGAATTATAACGTACCATGTTTAAAGATAACAATTAGATAATTACCAATTAAAGAATGTTTGAGAAGTTACGGATGTTTAGGGTTGACCAAAGCATCGTCATACCTATTCCAGAAGAGCCTCAGTTTTGATGGAGGGTGATATCATTTTGAAACCGACGAATTTGCGAGGGTGCTGGAAGGTCTCAACCAACGAGGCACAGAAACTGAAGGAAAGGTATGGTGAAACTTTTTTCTTTTTATTGCTTAGAATATTTCCATTCAATTGCGTTCTTTGTTTCTGGCTAACAGAATACAATACTGGGGGTGGTAGAAGGCATCAAGTGATGAAGATGAAGAAGTCCTTGCAGTTATGTACGTGTTTTTACAAGAGGACCTTCATCCTAGACCAGCATGGATTTTATAAATAATACAATGGTTGTTATGAAACCATCTTTCTGGTTTAGATTTTGAGTATACCAGTAAATTTGATTACAAGCTGTTGTTTACCTTCTCAGGTGCCTACTGACGTACAGCCTTTTCTTTTGTTTAAGGCCAGTCTGAGTTTGTTATGTGTTCGAATCGTTTTAATGTATCTTACAATGATACTATTTTCGCGAAAAGTTGGTGGCGTTCGTGTACGGTAGTGAAATGTAGTGTGTAAGTGTTAGTGTGTGTAATGGATAGTAATGGAATGGTTTGATTGATGGTTATACCCCCTCCTTCCATCCAACTGCTCCCACTCAGCTTCGAGAGGATGAGGACCCTGGACATCCAACGCTGGATAGATTAAGGTTTCGGTGAACCCTAGTTAGGTCTAGCCGACGCCTCAAAGTAAGTCACTAATGAATATTGTATCAAATAGACCTGAGTGGCAAGTTTTATATTTCCATTTTTATTTCTTTGGGGCTAATATGATTTTTGCGCTCAATAAGATAAGTTACAAACTGTAACTTAGTGTATTATTGGGCTCCACTGCTGGTCCATTATTATCCAATTTAATCTCCACGTGTTAGGGACCGACGTATGCAGGTGTTGCGCCTGTAACGTCAAACTTTGATTTTTATTTGGGTTTTATTGTGATTGTCAGCTGCTGTTTTAGATCCTTTACACCTTATTTATTACGATATATATTAGTTGTTATTTTTTGCTGAGATAGGCTCGAAGATGGAGAACATTTAAAATTGTGATTATCTGATTACAAAACATACATCGAGGTTTGTCTACGCAGTCGTTTGGGTGTTGTGTTCCACATACATATATACCGCGTACACACATTTATTTTTTACAGGTTTGTTATGTATTATGTGTGTTTACTTGTCACTCGTTGGGTCTATTTGAATTTTTTTTCAGCTAGTGTACCCATACCTACATACACATTTAATGGTGTAGTGAGGAAGACGTTGTTGCTGAAATCGTAATAAAGTTCTAGGGGTTCGCGAATCGGTTCAGAGTTGGCGCCAAATTAAAGAATGAAATCTTAATCTTGCAATTAGAATTTTTTAAAAACTGACGAACATTTAAAATTTTCTTTTTATTTAAATTAATTTAGTTTTTAATTTTGCAACTACTTTTTTCCTGTTTAATGATTAATTTAAAAATGAACCAAGCTTAGATACCAATATTTAATTCAGTAGAAATGTTGTTCATGTTCATTTTTGAATTAGGTCATTTTTAAATTTGCAATTTCTTTTCCATGTGTTCGTCCAAAAGGCATTCGAATACTCACAAATTTTTAATTTAATTTCATCCACTTCACACTTCATAACACTTGCATTTTTACATTCAAAAATAGGTATGTTAAAGTAAAACTTTTAAATTTTACCCACCTAAAACACACAGGCTCATACACACACACGCTCAAACTCACGCTCGTAATAGATAAAAAGGATTAACTTAAACATCAACATTAATTTAGATATATATTTATCACAATCTAAACTTAATAATTACCTCAACATGGTAACTTATGAAGTAAGTACATACTATACCTACCACCATTATATTATTATATTTTACCTTTTACTAATGTAACTCTAAATTTATTTCAGCATGAAAGGTAAGTAAAATACTTTACATCCAAACAAATACCTTTTAAACGATGATACTAACATTATTACCTATTTTTTTTTTCAGCTTTTCCTGGAGCATCATTTCCACATTTTTTTTCCATTCCTTCTCTTCTGTCTTCAGAAGAGAAAGTATATCAAACAATTAACACAATCACACACGATCACACAATTCGTTAAAGTCGCCATCGAAGTTTTTCTCTTTTAAACTTCGTCATGTTATTATTTATTTGTCGTTAAAATATTAATTCTCCATCCTTTTAAAAACCTTAAATAGTTTTGTCGTGGTTCTGTTGTCCTACGTCTCGATTCGTTGCAGATTGGTTGTATATTTAGGGCAACAGTCTCCTCAGTTCTCTATCAAAAGTGGTTCGAGGGTACATTTTGCGATATGCATCCGTCATCAATATCGAATATTGAATTGATTACAAAAATATAATGTTAAGCGGAACGTTGATACAAATCCAGCGAGTTGTATAGTACTTACGCATCAAGGGAAGAAAGTGCGGTATTCCCTCCCGGGAGGGGGTGCCGTACTTTATTCCTGAAGCCTATGTACGATTTTATTCCATACCCTTACCGAAAGTGAAGGTATTTTGCTCTTTTGTCCCTGAAATCAGGGAAAAACATCGTACATTCGGTAGATATGTAGCAAAATATTGTACTGTGTATTTTGAAATTTATGTTTCAGGAATTTATTGCTTTATTTGCAAGACAGTTTACAAGACAAATGGGATTCCTTTAAAAAAGTTTATTTAGTTATACATTGCAAAATAATTCTAATGGAATTTATTTATCTTTTTTGTACATAAATTGCATTATCCGATACGTTTTCATAAAAATATGCTTATATAAGTTTAGTTGAATCTAAGAACTACATATGTACTAAAAATATAAAATCTTTAACGAGGTACATAACAAATAACACCTTTGGTCTTAAATTTACTGGCAATGGCAATGTTTTAGTTAAAATGGCGCATCGAGATTTTTTTATTTAATTAATATACTTACATTTATTTAGTAATAAGTACACTTTATCGCGACTTCTGAGAGCATTGCTGTTTTTATCAGCATGATTAAATCGAATCTATAAGTACAACACATTTCGATCACAGAAGTATTTAATTCTTAACGTTATTACGTGGAATTAACAGTGTAACTAACAAGCATTCTTAATTTCCTAGTGCATCCTTTGCAAGATTCAACATATGTAAATATTTTTCAAGTTAAATTAACATGAATATCACTGGAAAATAAACATCTACCCGTAAAAAAAAAACTATATATTACTTAGGTAATTGGTTAGCGGTGTTCTTGTAGTTACATATTTTCTATAAATATATTAATAATAAAATTAAGTTTTACGCAAATGCATAAAAATAATACCGTGAAATCGTAATAAGTCTAACAGTTTTCCAGGTCACTTTTTAATGTACTCTTTTTTACCATGGTGTCCAATTCTTTACTTTTATCCTTCTTCTTAATAAACGGATAGAAAATCCATAATGATGCACCCGCTATTAAAATTAGCCCCAGCCAAAAGAACATGGACGTATAAGAACGATCAATTTCGAACCAAAGACCACAAATAGGAGGACCAATAAGTTGTAAAACACCGTTTACAAAAAGGGAAATTCCGTATGACGATTGTATTTTTTCGGTCCCTAAAAGATCAGCCATTATGACCGTTGTTATCCCTACGTAAACCCCAGAAGCTAGACCAAAAACAGCACAGAATGTACTTAAAATAATATAATTAGCAGAGAAAGGCAAGGCTGCTAAAGAAACTCCAGAGATTAATAGTCCTCCAATAAAGTACCATTCTTTAGGGAATGACGATATATCGGAAAGGGCAGATCCACCTATTCGGCCTATTAAATCAAAAGCAGATACTATTGGGATCAACATGGTCCCTTTGGTTTTATCGTAACCCACGTCTAAGGCATACGATGGTAATAAAATGAAAAAATTTGTATAACTGATTGCATTCGTTGCATTTGAGATGAGAATAATTAAATACAGGGGATCTTTGAGGAGTGACAAGTCAAATAAACTTTTCTTTTCCTCCAATGCGTCCCCTTTACCTTTAACTGAACTGGACCGAAGACTAAAAGAAGAAGCAAATTGTTCCGGTTGTAAGGTCAGAGTGCTTCCATGGTAAGGTGTTGAGATGTATTGAAAAGAACTAGTGGAAGCATTCCTTCTTGGAGCACCGCTTCGTGACCTTCTGATTGGTGTTATTCTAGATTGCGATTGGAACACGGGAGTATTAGCCTTCTCAGGAACAGACTGCAGTGTTCCAGACATATGAAGTTGGTTCTTAGAATCATTGTGACCTATACGAGCTCTAACAATATCTTTTGAGTTAGGAACACTTATTTTACGCTCCCTACTATCTATTTGTTCCTTGTAACTTGGCACAGCAGCGCTTGAAACACTTCTTACAAATGAATTATTAAAATCATCCTGATTTTCTAAGAACGAATGTCCCGTTTGCAATAACTGAAGTGAAGCACTGTTGTCGATGGTACCAATGTATTTATCCGAAGCGACATTTGAGTCTTCTATTTCACAATCTTCCTCATCTTCTTCCGCGCCCTTTTTGACTTTCTTCATGTGCTTCTCAACGGGGTCGAAAAAGAGAGCTGCTACCCAAGTGTTTAATGTAATGGCTCCCATAATAAGGACAGTATCTCTAGAAATTTTGTTATAAACAAATACTGAAATTGCAGATAAGTTTGATATTCACCTGTAATCGTATACTTCGAGAAGAAATCGAAGTAGAGGGGGAAGTATAATAGAGCCAAACGCAGACCCTGATATACATATTCCATTAGCTAAGCCTCTTTTTTTTACGAAGTAATTTGTTACTATGTAAACGGTTGGTGGAAAGGCCAGTCCAGCTCCTGTTCCAACCAAAATTCCATAGCTTCAAAACAATGAATTAACTTATCAACTTTATTTCACAAAAACAACCAAAAGTTTTGTACCTTACGTAAAGGTAAGGTATTGATTGAGCCCAAGAACTTAATATCATACCAAGAGCTGCACATGTTCCTCCTATTAGTGTTACAGTTCTGTATGAATATTTCAACGAAAGAATCCCAGATAATGGTCCTACAATTTGTACGTATAGACAAACTATTTTAATGAATAAACGAAAAGAGAATTACCAAGGGAGCTATAAAGGAAGTAACACAAAGCTGGAATCCATGAAGCAGCTACCTGCGAAGTGTTAAAAGCTTCTAGAAATTCTACAAATAATACACCAAACGATTTTACGGTTCCTGGAACTATAATATTAACTAATGTTGACCCTAGTAGCACCAACCATCCCCAACCCCCATCTGGGGGTACAAGTTCCCAGTCTTTTTCGTCTTTTTCGTTTTCTTCTTTGATAGAAACGCCTGCAAAAATAAAAACAAATAGCATAAAACTGGGTTTAATTTTTATTGGCAATGTTTATTGCAGAATCTGGAGAGCGCTTATCTAAGCAATAAACATGTTAAGTAGATAATAGGTATTTCACATGAAATCGAGTATGTGTATAATTATTTCATTTGTGTTTGTGAATTACGCAAACATATTAAAACCTCAGGGTCTTTGTCATTCGTTATTCAACATAATTGTGGTTTCTCTCATTTAGATGTTGCGCATCATTTACAGTCTTAATTGTGTATTACTAGATTAAACTAATTTTGCTTATATTTTTTTGACAATTTAATGACTACATTTCGACGTGAATAACAAATAAATAACAAATAACTATCTACTAAATATTTAACACGACCGCAAAAGTTGAATAAACAAATCTATTATGACTATTTAGTACATTGCCAAATTGTTATTCTTTCGTAGCTTTTACGTAGATATTGCTAAATTTTTAAATACATACAAACGTACGATATACGTAGTTACATCTCGATACTTTAAAAATTAGTTAATATAAACTCATTAATTTCTTTTGCATACACTGAGTTGCATTTTTCATTAGTACCTTCTATATACATACATATGTTGACAAAAACTGTTAAACTATAAACTAATAAAGAATTAGTATCATTTTCACCCATGATTCAAATGAATTGGTTCTTATTAACAAGTAATGATTTACTAAAAAGTACGTAATATCCTTACTTTAACTTTTTTATAGTTTATATATTGGGCTTTTGTCAATAAAAAAATTTCAACAAACAATTATATATGAAAAATTGTCGAAAATTTTACTAAAATATTTTGACTGAACAATATTAAGTAATTTTTTCATATAAGTATTTGTCAAAAAAAAATTATTAATAGGTCAGTATTTTAACTGGTGTCATAAGTTACAAACTAAATTCTAGTTCTATCTAATTATCTTTAGTCCTTGAAAAAAAACCTCAATCTCAATAAATAGGTGAATCGTTGAACTTCTGTCTAATAAAGTGTTTTTTTCACCTGAATTAAAATTTCAAAATAAAAATTATATCTTTATATGCAAGTTATGCTGTATTTTGCTGGTCAATTTTAATATTTCCGCTATTTTCATAATTACCTTCAACAGTTTTATCATAAAATTTGACCTTCCTTAATTATTTCGTTACTAATAAATGTTTACACATAACAGGTTGTTTATTACTAGAGTCGTGATAAATAATTTACAGAATAGAGAAGTAAACTCATCAAATTCAAAATTTTTAACAAAAACAGTGATAATAACAACATATTGTGGTAATTAATTTACAGAATAGAAAAGTAAACTCAACAGATTCAAGTTTTAACAAAACCAGCATAATAACAAAATATCATGAGTTATCACATTCTTTTATTAAATGTATATAGCATATATATTCTATTAAATGCAACTTCAGTGTTCTCATTAAAACGTTTCAACAGATCGTGACTAAACTTAATTGCTTGTTTTTACGTAACATAAAATACATGCATTAAATCACATGATTTTTGCTATGAAATTATGAACCATTTCTTAATATGCAATATAAAAGGGATTTACTTTATTTATATATACTATAATTTAACATTTAAAACACCTTAGCCAATATATTTTTTATTAATTAAAATTAAGAGAAAAATGATTTTTAAAAAGGGAGGAACAGACTTCAA